GTATCTAATATAAAAATAATAGTAATGATAAATAAATAATTAACAATATAAAATTTTTTGTCAATACAAATTAATAATAACAACTAGATATTAAAAGGAATTAAAAATATATTAAAGCAGAGATGAGGAAATAAATTATTTAACAAACAATAAAGAAATAAAAATTATTTCTTCATTCAAGAATATTTTATTTATTTCAAATTCTAGTTAATACTGTATTTTAAAATTTAATCCAGCATATAGCAATTTAATATAAGATACTTAAATCATAATTTAAATAAAAATATCAAATTGATTNCATTACAGAAAAAATTATTATAAAAATAAAGAATACTTTAAAATATTGAAAATAATAATCCCATTGTACATTAACACTTTAAACTAAAAAGCTAACTTGTAACAAGCATTATTTCATTCTAAAATCATATATTGATTTTAAAATAACTAGATTTTCTTTAAAAAAAAATATGCTATGTATATATACATATACTGCATTGAATATATTTAATTAAATAACAACAATGACAGATATGTAATCTAAAGTAATGTAAACATTAAAAAAACTTTGAGATTACTACAAAGCTTTATTTCAATAGTAGGGACTACTGTTTTATGTTTTATTTTCATCAGATTAAATAATAAAAAAAAGCAGCAAAAGAAAAAATTTAGCATTAATTCTTACCTGAACAATTTTAATGATGTTTACTACAATTTATGAGAACATCAAATTATTTATTATTTTGTACTTATGGAAAAATGGCAGCAAAAAAATCATACAATAAATTTTAATTATATATATTTTAATTATGCATGTATTGTACTTTATTAAAGAAAAGAATAAATACATTATATGTACTTATAGCTTTCTTTTAAAAAGTACATATAAATTCTTACTCATATATTTGTTTACAGAATTATAAGAAAGAACCAAAATACAGAAATATGTAAAAAAAAAACAAAAAACATATTTTACTACAAGAATAACATTTACTGAAAATATGTATGAGCAATATTTATTACACATAAATTTTTGTGTGTAAAAGCTGTTTATAATATTAATCACTATTACATAAAATATAATTTGTAAATCAGTCCTGTTATAGTATATTTTTTTAGACTGAATAAAGAATATTTGAATAATAAAAAATTAAATAATTTTAATTGTGATTCACTGTAATTGTACACAAAATTATTATAGTATATTTATAGAATACATAAACTATTTGAAATCAATATGATATTTATATCTGAGTTTTTCTTTACTAATTTTCTGTTTTTATATTAGTTATACATACAATAAATAAACATTAGAACAATAATAGAAATAATTCACTTGAACTTGCATATGATAAAAAATTAACTATTATGTAATCACTTGATTTCTTTTTATTATTTTAAATATATTAATACAGATTGACAATTTGGAAAAGAAACTTTTCCAAAATAGATTTTTATGAGTATAATAAATTCTATTCTATTCTAGAAAACTTATTTTACATATTTTTCTACTAGTATAATATTTTTAATTCTGAATTGAATATGCTAATTTCTACAGCTGACATATTCTCATTATTCAAAGAATTTTGTATTTCCTCACATAGGTTCTTATAAAATAAAGCTTCTAAATTCATTAAAACAATATACAGTATAATTTTATTTTTAATGTCATTAAACTAACACTAAAGTAAAAATTAATATTTGATATTCAACTCTTGATTATTAGTTGTTTAATATTTTATTACAGAATTCCATAACAAATTATATTAAGTTAGATAAATGTAATATTATTACTATTATTATTATTTTAAAATGCACTTTTTCAATTAAATGCTTTTACTAATTCAAGTTATAATATTATTTCATTATAGAATAAATTAATCTATTTTTGAAATAAATATAACCAATGAAACCATAAGCAGATAATTGTAAAATTAATCATGAATCAAATATGAAAGTAACTGCTACATTAAGACATTTTACTCTTTTAAATTTTATTATTATTTATGATTCTGTTTTCTAATCTTATTTTGTAACTATGAATTCAATATACTGTACAGTTAGTTTTTATGTCATTCTTACTTTTATATTTTTAAAATTTCCAATTTTATTAATTACTTTTATTGTAATAAAAAAAGCTAAAAAACATATATTGGAGTACTAAAAGGTTTAATTAAAACTAAGGTTTTCAGCTTTCTTTATAAGCTGTCTTCAGATTACATAGAGTATCAAATATATAAAACAAAAAATTTTACAAAACATTCTTTTTTATCTACTGGAACTTTGTTAAGTTGTTATTGTAATTATTTATAATAATAAAAAAACTGCTATATTTTAAAAACTATTCACATTTTATAAAATAATCAAAATTTAAAAAGACAGGAATACATTGAAAAATATTTTCAAAATTTCTATTTACCATCTTCAACTTTATATTTTTACTTTAACAACAACATTATAATCCTAAAATATTATAGTACAGTGTACACGTAGGTAATCAAAAATTTTTCTTGATTATTTCAGTAAATTATGAGTTTATAATCTGGATTTTCATTAAAAATTTCCTATTCTTTACACTAAAATCATAAAAAATATTTAAACATTAATAATCAAAGAAAGTATGTTTAATAATGTTGAAAACAAAAGGTTAATATTCATATTTAATTCTTCTTAATTCTATCATAAATTATTTGGTTAAATGATCATTAACACAACATATTTAATATTACTGATGATACTATTTTAATAAAGTTTATTATTACTTTTGTAGATTCAAAATGAATCTAAAATTGCAATGCGTTTTTTTTTTATTTGATATTTTAAAACTGTTTACTTAAAAAAAACTAATGAATTATATGATCAAAAAATCAATCAATTTATGTAGTTGATTAAATGCTTGATTAATGATTATTTTTAAATAAAAATTTTTCCTTACATAGCACTATTTTTCACACTGCATTTTAATTATTCAATTTATTCTTTCCATTGAAATTTTTGAAACACATTGTTTTTAAAATAAGCAAATTTATATACAGTACTAATGAAAGCATTTATTTTAATGATAAATGTTGAAATTTAGTCTTTTGATAAGTTCTGTATAATTCTTGTACTTTATATTCTGGACTTTTTTTTAACTCTGCAATGTTTCAAAACATTGCTTACTTCTGAATAAAGCATTTTAGCTAATCTCATTTCTTTTGGGGCATTTTTATATATTAAAAAATAAATAAAATTAATGACATATTTGAGGTAATTTTAAATCTGCAATACTACCATAATTTCAAGTGTATAATCTGCAGAAAACTGTTAGAACAAAAAGAAAGCCTTAACCCACACCACCATATACCTTGTGCCTAAGGAGTAACATATATGCCATACACATGAGTTTATGATTTCAATATAAAATTGCATATAAGCAGTACCACTGCATAATCCACATCTGTTCCAAACTGCCTTTTAAATGCAATAATCCACAGGTTATACACACGAAAATATGGTAATTCATGTTTTTTAATAATAATCATAATATTAAACAATTAAATTAGAAACTATAAAATTTATTCTAATTTTTAACATACTTAAATTTTAAAATACTATAAAAAAGACATTTAAAAAATAGTATATTTCAAGAAATATATCAAATATTGAAAAAAATCATCATGTTATATTCTGTAATAGAAATATATATATAAATAAAAGAATATAAGATTAATTTTCATTTAAATTACAACAATTATTATTATTAAAACAATAAAATTCTTTTACATAAATATTAAATAATAATTTATTTGAAATGTAATATGCATAATTTACAATAATAAAATTTTAACTATTATACAAGTTATCAAATACTACTATAACAAATATTTTTATGGAAATGACAAAGTTAGCTTTGAAAACCTTTTTATTACTATTATTTTTATAGCTATTATATATTTTTAAATTATTTTAATTACAATAATTAATCTACAAATAATTATATTATCTGTATAACCTAATAAAAATCATTTGAAATAGTATTGTTAAAAAATTTTAGAATGGTATAGGTAAATCAATAACATTTTTTATACAAAAAATTTAATTCATTTTTTGTTGTTGTTGTTGAGAAGAAATTTTTAATTAATTTATTTACTTTCTGTGTAACAGTTAAAAAGAGAACTTATAATTTATGAACCAAAAATATATTATTAATTCTGATAGTAACAATTATAATTCTTCAAAATCAAGTTATAAACATAAGAAAAAAAACATAAAATTATTTTTAAAATATTTATATACTTATAACTTACTAAAGAGTGTTTTTTATTTTTACATAAAGTTAAAAAAGAATAAGCAAGGAGAAAAAAAAGCATAGTTTCTGTTATGTTTAAATATTTTTTAAGAAGTTCGTAACATGCTACATCAATGTACAAAGATGAGGAAAAAAAACAGTAAATTCAATATAAACACCTGTTATTATCTTTAGAATCAAGAGAAAATGTTAATGAATTCAAAAAATTGCTCATTTTTACTTCATTTTATTATTTTTAACATTTCTGAATGAATTTATTCTTTCTAGTGTTAATGAGTTTTGGAAAAAAATAGAAGACAAATGCTTAAAAAACTTTTGTATCTTCTATCTCCAATGAATACTTCTATCATCTTAATCTGAATAATTTTAATATTTATACCATCAATTTGAATATATCAAAAATAAATTTAAAATTTTTTTTTCCTATAAAATTCTACTAAGGATATAAATCAATCAGAATGATTTTTAAAATATTTCATATATTTATCAAGGTCTATTTAAAGATTTGCTTGTTTTTTTTTTTAAATTTATGCAACCCTTTTTGTTTTGTTAAAAGTAGGTTTATTAAATTAGTTTTTATATTGTAAATATCTATTACATAATAATTTATAAAAATTAATAAGACTTCTTAATGCATGATTAAAAATTTTAATTTTAAATAATTAAATTATGTTTGTTATTTAAACTAAAACATAATTATTTTTTTACTCACATATGAGAATCAGTCATCTTTGCTTCTAAGTGGGTATCCTCTGGAGCAGCTGCTTCTGGATGAGTTCTCCAATGGTATGATGTCTCTACTCCTGATACAGGTTTATCTGTCCTGTCTCCCAAATGACACTGGAGAACAAATTAAATTATTTTAGTTTTTATTTTAAAAAGATATTTAACTCTTTTTTTATTAAAACTCTTAAATTATATAGTATATACAACAAAGGAACAAAAAATAAAATTTTAATTATATTTATAAAACTCATTTATTTTTAAATTTTTATTTGTATTAAAATCAATATATTACAANAATACTAATATTTAAAAAGATTCATTACAAAGTGTCTTATCTAAGTATTTTTTTATCATTCAATAAATTTTCATTTTATTTTGATGTAGGAAATAAAATAGAAAAACTTTTTGTATCATGATTTAAAACTGTAATAAAGAAAAGAAAGTAATTTTGATTTATTATTCCCTTCACTTAAAATTCAGGTTTTTTTTCTCTTGAAATTCAATATTCTTACAAAATACTGTTTTATATCAGATTTACTAAAATGACATTGATGAAATGAAAGGTTTAAGGTTAATGTTGCTAAAATGAAGCTGGATATTCTCAACCAAAATGTATGATAATCTATAGTTAAATATAAAACAGATTAGTATAACACATGTTTCAAAGATATATAGAATGATTAATCATGTTCTGTTAAATGACAATTGTTCACTGTTAAGCTTTAAATTTATTAATAAAACATTTACTTGTCATACAAATGTAACTTTTGACAAAGATGTAAACTTTATTAAATAAAAGTTCTATTACTTATCTTTTAAAATTATTTTTAAAATCTATTTTGAAAATAAGGTTTTTGTTTATATTGAATGTAAAACTTTTTAAGTACGTCAGAAAATTTAAAAAAATTTTTTCATCATAAAATAAATATCTAGAGAAGAATATAAGGAATTGGGTTTAAAGAACATCACAAATCAATATAAAAACAGATTGTCATTTACATAAGTTTCCCAGGACTCTTGAGACATAAGCTCTTTGCCTTGTCTAATGCAAACAACAAATATATAAGAATTCAATTTTTGAAAGCAAAAAAGGTCTTATTTATTATCCTCTTTTCATTAAGTAAAAAAAAAAGATTTATAAATTGTAATTATTAAATTATAAAAAATTATATTTTAAATTTAAATAAATAACTCCTATAAATTCAAAATTCGAATAGTTATTGTATGTCTATACAGATAATTTTATTTCATTCCTATCAATATTTATTACAATAAGCAGTTTTTAATTGGGTGTATTTTTTGCTTTATAAGACATATTATTGTATTGGATAAATCAATTTTTCATGTATATTTTTTGGGGAAAAAATATTCTTCAAAATATAAGACATATTTGGCTTGTAGGATATCCTAATTTTCAGATATATTTTAAGGTACAAAAAGTACTGTACATCTTATAAGTCAAAAAATACAGTATCTAATATAAAAATAATAGTAATGATAAATAAATAATTAACAATATAAAATTTTTTGTCAATACAAATTAATAATAACAACTAGATATTAAAAGGAATTAAAAATATATTAAAGCAGAGATGAGGAAATAAATTATTTAACAAACAATAAAGAAATAAAAATTATTTCTTCATTCAAGAATATTTTATTTATTTCAAATTCTAGTTAATACTGTATTTTAAAATTTAATCCAGCATATAGCAATTTAATATAAGATACTTAAATCATAATTTAAATAAAAATATCAAATTGATTATAAAATTTAAAATGAATGAACTTTAAATCTTAATTTAAATATAAGTACCTGTATAATAAAATATATTTATATCCAATTTTAGTTTATGAAAATTGTAAAATAAATTTCAATTATTAAAGGAAAATTCAATGTAGACTTAAGAATGAAAAGTTAATCCAAGATAAAAAATATTCAGTATTAAAATTTTTAGCTTTTTAAAAATAAAATTTATTTCTCAAAATGTTTAAAAATCTGAATATTTCAATTATAAATATAGAAACAGGAAGATATACTTTTATATGTAATTTTGTCAAATTTACTATTTTTCACAGAAAATACAAAATATCATAAAAAATTTCAAATTCCTTTTAATAAATCAATTGATCTCGAAATCTACCAGAAGAAACCAAATGATGAAATTTAAAAGTTGATGGTTAAATATATAATATTTGCATCAACCTTATGAATACCACATAAACCAATTTTTAGATATGGATAAACATATATTATTGATGGAAAACTTCAAATTCATCTGCTTGAATTTAAAACTGTAATCATTTACATATCAATTTATAATATACAACATAAAAAATTAAATTTTAACAAATAAAATCATATTTTACCTATAAATAATGTTATTTTTAGCATATTAAGCTTTAATGTAAAACAATATTCAAAACTGAACAATAATAAAACACATATGGATGTAACTAGAACTTTTTCCTGGAATATATATATACAGTATATAAAATAATTATCTGCAGCTGTATTTGATTTATTAAACAGTTTTCAATTGTAAGAAAGATCTCAAATAAAATCAACATAGCTAAACTCCGATTATATTCATTTTTTTTTAAATCAAAGCTGTTAAATACTAATATAAAATATCAAGATTAGATTCTAGTTCTGAGGAAAAAGGTATTCAGAGAAGTAGAATCTTACTAAATATCAATTTATTGTATCAATAATAGTGATGATAAAATAATATAGATTGTATACAGGTTGGTAAAACCGATTTGAAGACCAAGTACAGTACTTAATTGCAGTCAGAAATGTGAATCAAGTTTTTAAGATAAAAATTGCAAACACGTTGTTATAAAAAATGCGAACACGTGGGTGCAAGGAGAATAAGTTTATTTATAAACGTAGCCTATTACAAAGATTAGATTTTCTTTTTTTCTTCTTCTTTTTCTTTCGTTTACTTTAGATACTTTTCCTTATTTTCCAAACCAATTTCGACTGAATGGAAGCCCGCACATTTACCGAATACTAATATAATTCATTTCGAGATAGTCCCACTCTAACATTGTTTACACCGAACGACCTTTCGAACCACTGATTTCAATTACAGACTACGTCACTATTGCGTATCTAATAAAATAATGCACCGTTAACACTATTAATAATAAACAATATTATATTATTAAACAGAAAAGGTTTTTTTTTGCTTACAACTGTTCAATAACGTTCCTCTTCCATCGCATTCAAACCGAACCTAATTCAGAAATGATGTAGAAATTTTTAAGGAAATAAACGTATTAAAAAGGCTACAATTTGGACCTTACGTCATATTATTAAAATTCTAATCACACGTTTCGATATCTGTTGACATTTTTCCTTTAGTTCTTACGCAATTTTATGAATATATTATATTAATAATGCTTTATATCACGTATACCAGAAGCGCGCGTTAAAAAAGATGTCGAACACATGGCCTTCACGTGACGAAAGCGCGTATATATTTTCTATTGTAAAAATGCAATTCCGAATGTTTTCATTCGGATTTAAGACGTAACAATTTTTGAAACTTTAGCACTTTACTTAAAATTTACTTCTCCGCTCTTTGTTGAAAGAACAAACATTATTAACGTTGTTTGTTTTCTGGCTCTTTTGTGTTTGTATTAGCGACGGTTTGACATTTAAATCACATATGCTGAATGAAAATGATAATCTAAGACAAAAAAATAACATTGAATCGTATCGGAAAATATTTGATTTTTTTTACTATTTATAACGGGATAGAAAATGAGCGACAAAAGAAATAAAAATATAAGAGATTAAAACGTATTCGATTGGCGACCATCGTCAGCTTTTAATCATACAAAAATAAGAAAATATAATAATAAAACTATAGCAATAAAATGATATCTCCCGTCATTTGCTAGCTTTTATGATATTTGTCTATAGCCACATCATATCCTTGTTAAGATATAAGTTTATGAGTTATCATAAGGTAATAAAAATAAGTAATACACTAGTATATAGGCAATATTGCCAAAGGGGATTCCTTTCTTGAGAATAATATTAATTTAATGTAATTTAGGTTAAAAATGACTTGAATTATATTAAGAGATAATAAATTATTTAATTTTAATGATATATGAAGTTATTAAGTTAGCTCATGTTTGTGTAAGCTACGTTTGTAAACATTTCTGCTTCAGTGATTTTAACTAGATTCAAGCAGATATCTGGCCAACAAAATTTTATAACAAAAAAAAATTAAATACAACATAAATCTATTTGTCTGTGAGCTCTTCCGGAATTTATTATTTATTTTTATTTATTTAGATTATTTTTTTCGGAAATCTCCCATTTTTTCGCAGTCTATCATAATTTAAACAAGTACGAAAAGTTAGGAAATTCCATTAATGCAAAATGGCTGGCATAACGAGAATCTTTCCATTATGATAATAATAACAACGAGAGAGAGAGAGAGTGAGAGAGAGAAAAAAAAAACTTTTCAAATTATAATTTATAAATTCCTGCGAGGAGCATAAAGTTTATTACCAAAGCAAAAACTCGAGAAATTACGGCTTCATTTTTGCAGTAAGGGGGCCAAGTGAACGTGGGTCACGAACCTGGAACTCGTAACACAGGTGGCATTGACGTCACGTGACAGTGCGCCCTAGGAAGTGATTAACGATGAGGTGGTGCGGTTTTTCTTTCTCCTAACCTCGGTCGTCGACCTTCTCTCCGAGTAGCAGCGAAGCAACCGAAGAAAATCTAAGACCTGACAAACATTTGGGAATGCAATAACCGAAGAGTGGACCTGCCAACAACTTCATTGACATCCCCAATAGACTAAAACCTTTTTTTTATTTTTCTACCTAATTACTATTAGGGCTCATTAGTAAGGGAAATTCTTCATTCTGGAGAGCACTTGAGTGATTATGTGCCGTACTTCCGCCGTTAAAAGGAAATGACGTGCAGACAAGAACGACGCTTGTATAAAGAATGGCGGAACAGGAATAGGTGTGTCACTCAATGAGCTGTTTGTATTACTCTACCTGTCATTTAAACTCGTTCAATGTAAATCGTTTATGCAGTTACAATGAATCATTCTAATCCCCAAATCTTAATCTGTACC